GCTCCTTGGATGTCTAAACAGGGGAATATTGAGTAGGAGTAGAGAGGTTTTATTACCCTCCGTATTTGGCAATGGTGTGACAGCTACTTGAATACTGTGTCGAGTTCTGGTGTCCACAATTCAAGAAGGTTGTTGATAACCTGGAGAGGGTTCAGAGAGGATCCACAAGAATGATTAAAGCCTTGGGAAACATGCCTTATAGTGAAAGACTCCAGGACCTTGATCTAATTACTTTAGCAAAGAGAAGATTAGGAGGTGACTTGATCACAGTCTCTAAGTAAGTATCTTGGAAACAAATATTTGACAATTGGCTCTTCAGTCTAGCAGACAAAGATCTAACAAGAGCCAATGGCTGGAATTTGAAGCTGGACAAATTCAGCCTAGAAATACGGCACAAACTTTTCAACGGTGGGACAACTTACCAAGGGTTGTGGTGGATTCTCCATCAGTGGCAATTGTTAAATCAAGACTGGATGTTTTTAAAAAAAAGTTCTGCTCTGGTTCAAACAGGAATTAATTCACAGAAGGCCTATGGCCTGCGCTATGCAGGAGGTCAGGCTAGGGGAACACAATGGTCCCTTCTGGCCTTAGACTCGATGAACACACAGTGATTAGTGACATCACACAACTCTCCAGGGAAGTGGGCGACTATTACTATCCCCAGGGGGGCAGAGACGGGAGGAACGGCACCACAGAGAGGGGAAGTGACTGGTATGGGGTCACACAAAGAGAGTTGGCTACTGAACTGAGAAGTCCTAACTTCCACTTCCTTCGCCCTGCTCTAGCCACCTGACCACACTCTCTTCTCAGAGCCAGGAGCCAAACCCAGGAGTGCTACGTCCCAAGTCCCCGGCTCTCACAGGGCAATCAAACCTCTCTGGGGAATCTCCCCCCTGGATTCCCCAATGTCCAGTGCATCTCTCTCCCCTCCTTCCCCATGTCTACAGGGACGTTCAATACACCGAGACTTGCTCTCAAATCCTGTTACTTCAGAGCAGTAGCTCTCGGCTGCCTTATAACTACAGCCCCATACGGCTACTTGGTGCTGCCCTACAGAACATCCCCGCGCATCTGTCCTCAAGGCCTTAGGAGCTGCAAGGATGACTGGATGGCAACGGGAAATTTTTACCTCCCTGCTAAATTGGAACTTGCACAAATGTCTCCCCACTAATTCCATCGCCTGCTCCCCCTAGACCCTGAAATGACTCATCTCCCCAATACCCAGCATTTCCCCCTCCTCTGGCCCCACCAGCCGTCCTCACTGAAATCCAAACCATCCACCTGCCTGCTGCCCGCACTCCGCCCATCCTCAATTGCAGCAGGTTTACACTTTGCTTCAAGGGAGCACAGACCCATTGCCCCACAGGGAGAGCTCCCACTGCCTTCTATCCTGTGTGGAGTTTCTGGTGGGACATGAGGGAGACCTTTGCCTTGTAGCTTTTCCCACAGACAGAACATTTATAGGGTGTCTCTCCATTGTGCATTCTCTGGTGTCTAATAAGGTGCCATTTCTGAGCAAAACTTTTCCTGCACTCGGGGCAGTTATAGGGCCTCAGGCCAGTGTGGATTCTCCTGTGTCTAATAAAGGCCGAGCTGTGACTGAAGCTTTTCCCGCAATCGGAGCATTTATAGGGCTTCTCTCCTGTGTGGATTCTCCGATGCACAATAAGGTCAGAGCTATTACTGAAGCTTTTCTTGCAGTCGGGGCAGTTATAAGGTCTCTCTCCTGTGTGGATTCTCTGATGTGAAATAAGTTCTGAGCTCTGCTTGAAACTTTTCCCACAGACGGAACATTTATAGGGTGTCTCTCCTGTGTGGATTCTTTTATGTATAGTGAGGTCTGAGCTCCGAATGAAGCTTTTCCCGCACTCAGGACATCTAAAGGGTCTCTCTCCAGTGTGGGTTTTCTGGTGTGTAATGACATGAGCCTTCCGACTGAACCCCTTCCCGCACTCAGGGCAGTAGAAGGGCCGCTCTCCCGTGTGGATTCTCTGATGAGTGATAACGTGTGAGCGCCGACTGAAGCTCTTCCCGCACTCAGGGCAGTTATAGAGTTTCTGTCCCATGTGGATTCTCTGATGCTTAATGAGGTTTGAGCCATCACTGAAGGTTTTCCCACAGTCGGGACAGTTATGGGGTTTCTCTCTCGTGTGGGTTCGTCGATGTGACAGAAGTTCTGAGCTGCGCTTGAAGCTCTTCCCACAGTCATGACACTCGTAGGGTTTTTCTCCCGTGTGGACTCTCTGATGTATAATCAGGGTAGAGCTCCGACTGAAGCTTTTCCCGCACTCGGGGCAGTTATAGGGTTTCTCCCCCGTGTGGTTTCTCTGGTGTACAATAAGATGTGATCTCCAACTGAAGCTTTTCCCACACTCAGCACAATCATATGTTTTTTCTTTAGTGCAGATTCCTGGCTGGATCGTGTCTTTGGGAAGGTCTTTCAAAACTCCTCCACGGTGAGTGGATTTACCCTGTGTCTTCCCTCGGTGGTTTCCCAGCTGCCTCTCTGGCCTGAGCTGACTCTTGCAGGTTGCTTCCTGGAGTCCTGAGCAGGGACTGTTCCCTTCAGCTCTTCCTGATCGCATCCCATGCAGTTCCACTTCCTCGAGACCTTCCCGCTGAGAATTCTCCGCCTCCTTCTCAGTCACCGTCCCATCACCTCCTGGGACAGAGGGAAAATTCAGACATGAATATCAACTTGATCTTGGATGAAAGGGAACCTCAGAAAGGAGAGTGCAAAGTGGGGAGCAAACCAAAATAACTGCTGGGAAGATTGAAAAAAGCAGGAGCTGAATGTCCCCGCCTCCAAAACCTTTCTCCGGAAGACAGGAGGGAACCAATTCTGCCTCCACATCCCATTCAACAACTCCGGATGAAGGGAGCTACAGTCAGGTGTCAGGCAGGGCGGGCGGGAAGCCATGAATCACACGACACCTCGTGGGAACAATCCTGACCTGGGTGAGATGGGGCAGAACTGGGGTAGCTCATGGGGCCTTTGTGGGAATCCCAGCTGTTGACATCAATGGCGGGTGGTTTCTGTGTCCATTTAACCAATTCCTCACCTGTGTGGATGTTTTTCAGGATCTCTCTTTCCTTAGAGCCCTGGAGATCCAGAACCCACGGCTCTTCCCCCCGTTCCAGCTGAGAGATCACATCCGGTTTGGGAATGGGAAAACCTGCTCCAGGAAAAGAAAACAGACGAGACAAGAATTTTACAGTTATTCTGACCCAGAGATGGGTTGGGTGGGTGCCCTTGTAGAAATTCAACAGATGGAAAAATGTTCCTAGAGCCCCTTTGGGATGGCCAGATGGTTCCTGGGAGACCTGCAATTCTTCCTGCAGGAGATTCAGGGATTTCCACCCACTAGGGATTATATGACTCTGGCAAAGCACAGTTGTGCAACTTCTTACCCCTTTGTAACCCTGGTGAGACCAGAGCCCTTTCCGGGTATAGAGCCAGTCCTGAGAAGGGAGGGACACACAACATCTTTCTGCATACCAGTGTGTGCCCATATTTAAAAACACAGATAGGAACATACCATTCATCCTCTCTCTTGGACATGCTGGGGATGGGGATGGGGATGGGGATGTCTTAACACCCTACTGTGTCTCCATATCTCCTCTCCCATAGGAGGAGGCATAGAGGACGCAGACGCTTCCCCATGGGTTCTGGGGAATCCCCCTGAAATCTAAGGGACCAGGGAAGAACCCTGAGCAGAAGCCAACCCAGATGCTTCAGAGACTCCCCAGCTTCTAATAACCAAGGAGACAGGAATCCTTACCCAGCGAGGTCACAGTCTCATAATTCTCCTGCATGATGTCCCTGTAGAGGGCTCTCTGACTGGGGTCCAGCAGAGCCCACTCCTCCTGGGTGAAATACACAGCCACCTCCTCGAAGGTCACCGGCCCCTGAAACAGCCAGAGTCCCCCACTCAGGACCTGTTCCTCTAGCCATAATCCCACCAGCTCAGTCGTGGGCAGGGCTGGAAAATCCCCCTCCCCACAGAGAGCAGGGAACTGCCCCAGAGAAGAGGAAATTTCTCAAAACTGTCATTAAAAACACACAGTTTCTGTGGCGAAACTGTGATGCCCAGAGCTCTCAACTCTGGTGATTTTATCATGAGTCTCACAATATTTAGTTGGAATTTTTGGACATTTCCCATGCTCTCATAGGAATCTCATGATTCCTGGCACAGAACTCACATGTTCCTTTGTTCAACATGGTCCCATTACTTTGGAGGGGAAGAGGCTGGAGTCAAACTGCCCTGATTCAAGATGGCCGCCACTTCCCTGCAGTTTTGGCATGTGGAAGTGAGAGTGAGACTGCCCTTGGTAAAGATGGCCACCAACTCACATTGAAAACAATGAGACTGAAGCCCTGCTCTCCTCAGGCACAACTGACTCTGTGGTTAGGAGACTGGACAGGAAACTATGAAGATAAATGGAAATGTGTGGGGGTCAGAGGGAGGCTGAGGGGGGGGGGGGGGGGATAGTTCAGTGGTTTGAGCATTGGCCTGCTAAACCCAGGGTTGTGTATTCAATCCTTGAGGGGGCCATTTAGGGAACTGGGGTAAAAATCTGTCTGGGGATTGGTCCTGCTTTGAGCAGGGGGTTGGACTAGATGACCTCCTGAGGTCCCTTCCAACCCTAATATTCTATGATTCAGGGGGATTTGTGGGGCCAGAGAGGCTGAGGAATAGCAGGGGCATATGGGGTTGCAGGTGTTAGAAACAGGAGACTGCAAAGGGAAAGACAGATGAATATAGGGCAGGTGGGAAAGAGACTGGAGACCGTGCGGGAAGACATTGGTTGGAGCAGAGTGGAGACAAAGTAATGGGAAGAGAAGGGGGTGGAGAGGGCCAGAAGGGCAGCTTCCCAGCAGTAGGGGAGGGTTAGTAGTTGGTGTCCCCCTGTGAGCAGCGGCAGGGAGGTTTAATTTTTGCACGTGTGCTGTTGCAGGTGAAGTTTTGTGGCTGCAATGCAATACATAAATACTGAGGCCAGGCAGCTTAGCCCCTGGTGGTGGGAGGGAGGGGCCCTGCCCCAATGCTGAAAAACCCAGAAAGCAAATAAAATTGCTGCAAAATGTATTTTTTTTTTTTTTACACTAGTGTTTTTTAAGATGAACTGGAGAGGCAAACAGGGGACTTTTGGAGGGAGTGTGAGAGGTTTCTTCTAGGTACAGTTTTACGTGGCCAGCAATGGAACAGTGGTTGTGACCTGCAACGGATGTGCCACATTTTCTTTCCTGAAGGAGGTTAGATCAAACTTCCTCTGGATGAAGTGCAAGTTGGTGGCTATGCTGGAAGAAAGATTAGTGGTTTGGCAGGACAAGTACAGATACAGAGATGCTGAGGAGTTCTTGGACAACCACATTCAGAAAGCATCAGCACCCCAGATTCAAGAATGGAACTGGCCACCACAGAACCAGGGAGAGGAGGAGATCAGAGAAGGAGGCGTGGCAGTTTGTAATCACTGAGGTGGGAGGACCAGGTGACATTCTCCACAGCTGGAGGCATTTGAGGATGGGCAAACCGTGAACACCAGAGAGAAAAGGACCAGAAGGAACTCCACACAGCTAGAAGTATCCCATTGTTATCATGTTCTCAATGTGGAAACTGCAATATCTAGTTAACCAAACAGAATGGAGACCTGTGCAGGCCTGCCCAACCCACAAGACAATTAAGCGTGCCTGCAAAGAGATCTCCACCCATGCAAGGAAGGCAGACGATTCTTGTTGGGGATTCTGTGCTAAGAAGAATGGAAAGAACACTCTGCCAGGGACAGGCAGACAACAGGACGGAGCCCAGACATGAGGAGTCACTCTGAGATCGGATAGGGCTTCTGGAGTCAGTGGGCAAGGATCCAGTGGCGATGGTCCGTATCAACATTAATAACACTGTGTCATGGGGCACCTCACCGATTACAGACAACTTCAGAGAAACCGGAAGGGTGCTAAAGGAAAGGAATGTGAAAGTGATAGTCTCAGATGCTTCTTGTTCTGGAAGCGAAGGAAGGCAGAAGGTTCTGGAAGCGAACCACTGGCTAGGTAAGCAGTGGAGGGTTTTGGTTTTATGAAATATTGGACCATCTTCTAGGGGGAGAGAGGGCTGTACAGGTTGGATGGCCTTCATATCTGTTGAAGGGAAACCAATCTGCTAGGGGACAAGCTGGCTAGAGTAGTCAAGAGGGCATTAAACTAATAACAAAAAGAGAAAACAAATGAGGGAACAAATGAGCACTCAGACCAAAAGATCAAGATGTTGAGAACAAAATTATTCAAGGCACCAAGAGACACTAAGAGAAGAAATTCTTTAATTGTCTACACACTAGGAGCCTGGGTAAAAAACAAAATAAATTGGAATTGCTTGTTAATGAGAAAAAATTCAGCCTACTTGTTATTACTGAAACTTGATGGGAAGATCGGCATGATTAGAATGTTAAAAAAATTAAATAATATAGTCTCATCATATGATAACAACTCCTTCCATTTCACTAGTATATCTGGAGGATGTTAAACAGCAGCTACTAATGTTAAACACTTTTAAATCAGCAGATCCAGCGAACTTGCATCCAAGAGTTTTAAAAGAGCTGGCTAAGGAGTAGCTGAAGAGTAGTTAATGTTGATTTTCAATAAATCTGGGAGTACCGAGGAAATTCCAAAAGACTGGAGGAAAGCTAATTTTGTGCCAATTTTTAAAAAGGATAAACAGGGTGACCTGAGTAATTATAGGCCTGTCAGCATGACATCAATCCTGGACAAGGGAATGGAGCGGCTGATATGGGACTCGATTACTAGAGAATTAAAGGAAGGTAATGTAAATAAAACAAATCAACATGAATTTTTGGAAAACTAACTTTGTACCTTTTTTGAGATTACAAGTTTGGCTGATAAAGGTAATAGTGATGACCATACTTAGAATTTTGAAAGGTGTTTGACTGGTACTGCACAACATTATGGTTAAAAAACAAATCATATCAAATTAAAATGGCAGAAATTAAATATATTAAAAACTGGCTAACTGGTGGGTCTCAAACTGTAACTGTAACCAGGGAATCGTCATCAAGTAGGTGTGTATCTTGTGAGGTCCCACAGGAATTGGTTTATGGCCCTATTGCTATTTAACATTTTTATCAGTCACCTGGAAGAAAACACAAGCTCATCGCTGATAAAGTTTGCAGATGACACAAAGATTGGAGATGTGGTAAATAATGAAGAGGACAGATCACCCTTATAGAGCGATCTGGATCATTTAGTAAGTTGGGTGTCAGTAAAGAATTTGTATTTCAATATGGCCAAATATAAATTCATTCAATTAGGAAGAAAGAATGCAGGCCATAGACACAGAATGGGGGCCTCTATCTTGGGAAGCAGTGAATAAGGGCTGGTCTACACTGGGGGGGGGAATCGATCTAAGATACGCAACTTCAGCTATGCGAATAGCATAGCTGAAGTCGAAGTATCTTAGATCGAATTACCTGGGGTCCACACGGCGCGGGATCGACGGCCGCGGCTCCCCCGTCGACTGCGCTACCGCCGCTCGCTCTGGTGGAGTTCCAGAGTTGACGGTGAGCGCGTTCGGGGATCGATATATCGCGTCTTAACGACGCGATACGGCGGGTAGTGAAGACATACCCTGAGACTTGCAGGTTATGGTGGATAAATGGCCAAAAGGGCTAATGTAATCCTTGGATGAATAAACATGGGCATCTCAAGGAGGAGTAGAGAGGTTATACTAGTTCTGCGACAACTACTTGAATACTGTGGCCAGTTCTGGTGCCCACAATTCAAGAAGGGTGTTGAAAAATTGGAAAGGATTCAGAGAGGAGCCACAAGAATGATTAAAACATTGGAAAATATGCCTTGTAGTGAAAGACTCCAGGAGCGCAGTCTATTTAGCTTAACAAAGCGAAGGTTAAGGGGTGACTTAATCACAGTTTATAAATATCTACACAGGGAACAGAAATTTGATAATGGGCTCTTCAATCTAGCAGATAAATATATAACAAGATACAATGGCTGGAAGTTGAACGTGGACAAATTCAGACTCAAAATAAGGCACAAACTTTTTAACAGTGTGGGTGATTAACTGCTGGAAAAAACTTACCATGGATTTTCCATTAGTGGCATTTTTTCCAATTCAGTTTGGACGTTTTTTAGAAAAGATATGCTCTAGTTCAAACAGGAACTAATTCAGGGGAGTCCTAAGTCCTGTGTTATACAGGACATCAGACTAACTGATCACAATGGTCCATTCTGACTTTCTATGAATCTATGCCCATCTCCTGACTTTCCGGAGAGACTCACGGCTTCTGAGTTCTGCATTCTGGCTGTAGACTTTGGATATCAACATTTTTAGGCATTTGCTTTCTCAAGTACACTGGGCCTGTCCCACAAATTCAGGGCCCACATTAAAGATGGTGTAGTGTATAAGGGTAGGTTAGTATCTCTTTAAATAATTTGTGAGCTCTCTAGTAGCACTCACTGTGTGCTAGTTTTAGAAACCTCAAGAAATCAGTGCAGCAGTGTGTGTAGTTAGGCCTTGGGTGTCGGTGGGTATTTAGTAAATATGGCTATTTGAAACCCAACTCTGCCTGTGTGCTTTCTCCAAGTTCTTTGTGTTGTTTGAAGAGCAAAAGACCCAACTGGCAACGGGGATGGGATCTGAATCCAGAAACACAGTGGAATAGACAGTGACTGCAGATGCCCAGTGGAAATGGAACTCAAAGGAAACTGCTGCCTGTAGCCAGTGGGGCTGTCAGTAAACTGCTCATTGAGTGGGGACAAATAAAGGGTTAAAAAAAAAATCTCTGGC